AGATTTCCACCACCAGTGGCACCTCCGAAAGGACCCTTTACCTCGAGATCCGCGCCTGGGTGTCAGGGATCCAGTGGTTGTCAAAGGTAAAGGTCGACCAAGTGGCTCAAAAAAGCGGGATCCTTCTGAGTTTGAGCGTATGGAAAAGGCACTGGATAAGGAGATTACCAACAGGGCCAAAAAGGCCAAGAAGGAACCCCCATCGCAGCCTACATTACCAGCTCCAGATCTTATTATAATATCCAGCGACGACGAGGTTACTGGCGGGCAGGTCAACAGCGAGGTAGATATCGATAGTGATAGCGACTATAAGTCGGCACTGGAGGAGCTCCATTTAATTACAGCGGCCCATGGTAGCGAGGAGACCAGCCGCGGCGATGATACTGTAGCTTTATATATACACTGGTTAATTATAAAGTTAATCATACAGCGTGAGGAAGGCTTCATGGTAACAAGAGGCTGTATAGCTGGTTCGTTAGATACTGTATAAAGGTCACAAACGGAGGGATTTCTGCTTATTTCTTATGTAGAATAAATTGTTCTAATTGGCTGATTAATCACTAATTTCAAAGCCTTTCAAGCGCAAGATAAATTAGATATTTTAAGCTATATTTCAGAGGCCGATTTATATGTAAAAATAGTTTTTCACTCCTCCTTTCCACCACTTTCTTTCAATACAGTTTCATAGCCCAGGCCATATGGTTATTAATCTGGCCCGGTGTGTGTCACTAGGTAGGCTGCTGACTGAGGAATCCTGACCTCCACCCATTCGTATCTGTACAGTAATTAAAAATTAAAATATTTTCCTATACTGTACAGTATTTCTTTTTTTTGTCCTCCCGAAAGGCAAGAAAGCCTTGTTTTATGCGATCACTTGCGGTGCAAACGCAGGCACGCCCCGACCGTTCTTAAATCTGCGGTGTTCCTGCATTGATGGTCGCAGGATACTACAACGTTAGTTTAATGAGGGAAGGAAAATATTTTACATATTTCACCCTCCTTTATTCCTCGCTTTGGAACTCTGGGAAACTGATACAGTAGATGGGTACTGTAAATTCGGATATTTACAACCCACGTCACTTTTGCCTTCCCCCCCTTCTTTTCTTACCTCCCACTTTCTCCGTTCTCTATCGTCCTTTTGTTTTTCTCTGCCTAAGTCTGCTATGTAGTTATCACCCTTCTATTCCTTGTATTTCCTTACTGCTTCCTTTTTCTTTTTATTTTCTTTATTTATTTATTTTTTTATTTTTTTTTTTTTTTGGATGGGGTGGTGAAGAAGCAGGTAAGATAGTGGGTCCATGAATAAGAATTTGAATTCAGTTAACCTACAGCGACACCCACAGCCCCTCTTTTCTCGATTGTTTTGCAAAGGGCTGGAGCCCATTTGACCTCTTGGGCCAATATCCCTATTATCCCTATTGTCCCTATTGTCCCTACTGTCCCTACTATCCCTACTATCCCTACTATCCCTATTGGCCCTGTTGGCACCTTTGGCCCATCGGCCCTCGTCCAATTCACGTGACTTTCCACGTTGTTTGGTTACCGCCTTTTCCTCCTCCTTTTTTCCCTTCGATTCCTTTTTGTGCATAACCTATTTCATAGGTTCTACGAGTTCAGCCCCTGACATGTTTCCTCCAAACCACAGTACACCAACCCAGGTGTGCTGAGTTTATGTTATCTCTGCGGGTTTTCATCATAGACTGAAACATCATTTCCAACTCAAGATGCAAAGGAATTTAAAACAGCTCATGCATTATGTTAGTTAGTTAACTACTAAGAACCAGCTTACATAATATATGACTAAGCGACGTCGAACTTGTATCCAGACGCCCTTGTATGGCAGCAGTCGTCACAAGACGTACTGTACGCCTCCTATCCTTCTTGAGCCACCGAGTTGATTTGGAGTCAATCTTGCGCGTAGTCTTCCATATTTCTTTTTGAAGCTGAGCTCTGCATACATATGCACATGGAGGCATCTTGCTAATTCCATGAGCTAGCAGGTAGTTGTCATGAGGATAGCTGTGCTCAAAGACGCAGGCAGTGCATTCCTGGCTTTTCTCTAATGGAAATATATTACATATATATAATTGCTAGAATTCTAGTGGTACACACTATCGTCGAGAGCGATATTTTGAATTTTAAGACCTGTCAACGAAAAGCCTAGACTCTATTTGCCCTTTTTTCTTGTCTCTTCCTTTCAAAGGGGAAGTAGAAAGGGAAGTACGAAGACAGTCCCCAATCCAAACTCTTGGTGGCCTGAATTCCCCCAATCTTGGCCTTCTAAGATCGAGCCCTCTTTGGCCCCTCCTTCCAAACAAATTCTTTATATCCAACTTGCGTGTTTTAGTCCGGGCCATTAAATTCTCAAGAGAAGAACTAGGAAGCTCTGTCATCTGCGCTCCGTTCAGTTCGTTTTCTGGGAGGTCGATGGTTTCTATGGATGACGAACGCTGCCGGTCTGGTAGAGCCTGAGGTGCTATATCTTACCAGATATTAGAAGCTAAACGATACTACATTATCTAGCAAAGTAACAGTACCTTCAGCCAAAAGCCCCTGCACATTGTCATCCGCAGGAATCGGACTTGTATTGAGAGGGTATTCTGTTAGTCTGTCAGTGGCGCGCCCCAATACACAGAGGAAGACAAACGACCCGTCAATCTTCCTTTCGCCCTCCGGGAATTATCAAGTGCACCACCTGTACAGGTAGGTGATTTTTGGATCCTGAAAAGAATATTTTAGCCCTGTAATTGTAGCCCTAGGCCTCTTACGGCTAGATATAGCATTGGACAAGTCTTTTATTGGTGAAAAAGTAACTTAAGGAAAATGTTCCAGTCTCACCTGAATCTCTTCGATGTTTTTGCTCTAGTTCTGGTTGGCATGTTGTGGCAGTATAGTAAAACCGAGAAACTTTGTACGTAGGTACGTAGACTGGGAATGGCCCAGTTAATATGATATTCTGCCCCCTACATGGCAAACTCCTCTTCTCTGTGATACATGTCAGAGTAGATTAAATCGACCCCTATGACGTGTACATTCATACACACACAGGATTTTCGGTCAAGCACCACCTTCTTCCGTAATAAAAAGTCGCACCCAACTGTGTAGGACTTGGAAGTTTACGTGAGTAGGGTTTCTAGACCAATATAGGTTCTGAATATTCCAAGTCGTCTCTCTTTCCCGTTTTTGTTCATTTTATTCTTTGTTCCCTTTGAGGTAAAAGTTGAGGTATGTCACTGCTCAATCAAGGACAAGATGTTGTCGGCCAGCTGAATACGTGTATGAGCTAGTATCACTGATATATGGATAAGGATCCGCCTATTGAAAAGTAGGGCCTCTGACTATCTGAATCTATCTGGAGAACCGAATAAAAATGGTCAAACAAAGAACAAAGTTAGACTGGGATGCTGAATAATCAGTAATATAGACCTATTTGGTCGACAGATGTTTATGTAAATGAATATATTCCTACTACTGTAACTAACTAGGTAGCTCTTCGACGAGAATATTGAACACAAAGAAGAGAGGCAGAAGGGATGGATCTGAATGACAACATCAATTGCGGGGAAACCAGCAGATCACATGACCCAAATTGATAAGGTCCTCGTAAAAAGTTGAGGTAAAAACACTAGTGCATCTAAGGAATACCAAGCCACTGCGCCTAACATTGGTATAGAGCTTATAGGGCTTGACGTCAAGGACGTAGGGGCCTGCTCTACACTAGACTAGGAAAATCGCATACGTCGACTCAGCCGTAATACACCTGAGAGAATAACCGGCAGTGACAGGCAACAGGCAGGGTATCTCATGGACGTGATCACAAACTCGCCCGATGAAAGCACTACGACCATAGCAGAAAGGCAGTGGTGCCTCTGCAGCCAGCTCTCTGCAGTAGATTTTTAATCAAACCGGATGTCAAGGGCAGTTCAAGAAACGAGAGGCAAAAGTGCTGTTTTGCAACGAATACCAACGGCCCTACTTTCACAGAGATCCTATACCACGTCAAACTTTGCTTGTCGTCAGGGCTGCCCCATGGGCACGCGGCAGCGGAATCTACCGGAAGTTTCCACAAATTCCAGCACCGCACCTAGAGTGCTGTTTCGGGCAATAGGAGCTACAAGGGTAAGTAGAGCAACACAATGATATTCCTTATCATTATTTTCAGCTTGTTAGCATCAGTTTCCCGGTCCAAGGCAAATCCCTTGAACGAAGGCTAATATGCGATGATCCTCATATTAGACTTCTCGATGGCATCCCACTCGAATTCCGGTAATTTCAGTCGCGAACGTACGCCTTCCGAATATAGCTTTTGTCCCATTGGTGAAAGTTCCTCACCGATAGCTCAATCACCGCCCGGTGGACTACGTTTCATTGATAATGTTGAGTTGGATAACGGAGCAACAGATGATGAACACCCTTCTTGCAAGACTTGCACCCGCTTCTCTTATTAAGTTAACTAGTTAACTAACTGTCAAATAATATGGCCTTTGGTGGACCAGAATCATGTGACTATATAGGGTAAAACCTCCGCGGAGCACACAACAAAAACAACAGAAGAATTAACATAATCAAGAAGAGCCCAACCAGCTCAATTCATTCAAATAAGACCTTTTTACCAATCGTACTCTATTTCCTCTTCGGGATTAGCCGTATATCTGACACTAACTAGTTAACTAACTATACCGTAAGTTACGTAATCCAGTGGAAGGTGACTCAGAGCAACCAAGTCTTGGCAAAGGATGTGGAACAAGACCTAGATTCAACACCAAGTTTATAAATAAACCGTAACCGAAGTGTAAATGAACGCTCGCCGCGCGATCTTACGAAGCTTTTTGAAAAGACTGACATCAACTAGACAGCTATAAATAAAGCAGATCCTCATATGGCAAGATCTCCTTCATCAGCCCATGAAAATGCTTACGGTCTCTATTAATTATATGGAGGACACCTACCCTCCTGCAAGGAAAACTGACAAAAGAGGAACTTCCTCAGTAGCCAACAGAATGCTTTGTGAACATGATAATCAGATTGATGCCAAAGACTGCTCAGGACAGCCTTCTGTTTGGCGAGATGTGTATCGGAAGATGGGATGCCTAGGACTGTCCTGCCAGAATGAGGTCTTAGACGCTCATGATGATATTCCCGACGATCTGCGCAACCAGCTAGATGCAGAAGAGCGTCAACAGCTCTCTAAACAAAAATTCCTTAACAATGTCTCCACTGTATCGATGCGTCCTCCTACCAATTTTAATGTCCTTCCGACGCAGTCAGGTCAACCCTTGAAATCTTCTTCCTGGGGGGCTGACGCAACTCTGAGAACTATACAGCCTGATTACGTCGATATTCCGGGATATCGCGAGGCAGTGGTGGAAGAATATGCTAATTGGCATCTGTCACGGGTGAGCTCTGAGAACTATAAAGAGAATATCAAGCAAGCCCGTGATATAGCATTGGACAACCGTTTTGACATTGGAAATATTAGTCGCTTAGACCCAAAGTTATTCGTCGAGCAGGGGGTAAAAATTGGAGTTGCACGCAGATTCGTCAGTGACACCGAACTCTGGCGTGACGAGAGGGATAGCGGATCTGCTTAATGTATACTGGGACACGGCTGCCACCACAGAAAGAAGTCGCCTTTCCTAGCATTTATTATAGTTACCAAACTGCATTGTCTGACCTTGGTTTTGAGTATGGAGTCTACTTCACTCGGTTAACGACTTCATGACCACAAAATAGATATACAGTATTACAAATACTAGTGTACAACGCTTCTACTGTAGTTTTATTGTTCTGACCCCTGTGCGTACCTAAATTAACGATACTCTTATCTTATGTTTAAGTAGCTTGGAGAGCCTATTCTGGACATTTGAGGGTTATTAACCTTGGCCGCGTCGGCGTATTCTCTCCCGAAAGATGACTGCTGGCGTGGCGCTGCGATATGAGGACTGTGGCTTTGGTATACTACCACACGCTCAAAGCAATGGATCCACCCCTAAACATCATTTAGTATACTCATGAAGATCGATCGAAAGACGAACGAAGCGGTTGCCCCAGTTCTTTAAATATTAAACAATCTTCACTGATACGATATGTAGGGGCGCTTATCAGTATGGTATTCCCACTCATCGTATCTTTTAGCGCCATTTTCGATATGCGGGTGGGAGGTTTCTTTTAATTTTCGCATACTTGTATCCGACTTTTTCGAGCCCTTGCCGGATTTAGAACTTTGAACTGACGCACAAGTGTATTGCTATTCAAATCTATTAAGGGTAGGTACTGTACAGCTACTTATAGCCATATTAACTGCCTTCATATTGCCTGGCGCAGCAGCTGCCTATTAGGCTACCAGTGGTAGTCTGTCATTATACGGAGTATGTTGCAGGGCGAAAGTGTTCCAGGGCAACTTCAAGCGTCCCACGCTGAGAAGCAGTTAATCGTCTATTTCCTTGACGGCCTGTCTTTTTACCGGAGGATAAAATTCTAAATCCGCGCTTTGACGGGGAAATCGCGCGCTTAGAATCTTTAATTATAGTGATGGTCTCTCAATACCCCGTCATCACTCAGATTTATCAGCTTCAGCAAGAAAAAGGAACCGGATCTTAATCTTTTCGATAAAGACGGTCGATTACTAAGGGAGGAATACGACATAGAATTAGTCGAACAACCAAAATCAAGAATTGTAAATCTCGATGAACAAATCATGTCTCTTGAGAAGCATTTTGGAGTAAAGGCGACCAGGGTTCGGAGTAAAAATCATCCATACATCCCTGTACATGAGCGGACCTACAGTATCTCAAGACCCAGGAGGTTGGCTGTCACACTGACCCCGTTTCATAAGAATCAACTTGGTGAAACTAAGCTTTTGCCATATGCCCAACAAGTGGACATTACGCAGGGTCATGTGTAATTCCTACAATCAGAACAGCACATAGATGGCCGACCAGTTCCATCTAGAACCCAATTGCGGAGCTTTAGCTAGGACACTTGATTCAAAGATCCATACTCCTACAGTGCATAGCAGGCGATAAGTAGTATATGAATAAATGAAAATACCAATACATTTGATTATGGCTGATATGATATACAAAACATAGTAACTGCCTCAAAGCCAACCACGGTTGAAAACAATTCCCATGTCCCAGCCTATGAAAGAGTTTTATTCTCAACTCGATCGAATATCAGCTACCAGAAGGAAGATAAAGCCTTAACATCTTCCGGGACATTTGGCTTTCATGTTCCGTTGCCAGTGTTGTACAGACATATCCAGGACGGCCGAGTTCGGCATTGTTGGTAGTCATGGAGAGAAATCGACTGCATAAGTTGCACAAGGTAGGGAGACAGATTTTGCTGTCCCCGATACCAACGGTCTGGCTTGATTCATTGAACAACTCCTTGAGTCGCTGACTGCCATACAGGTATTGAGCACTGACTTGTGAGTCTCCCAGGTAGCCCCTCCACCGGGCAACTGGCTAGTAGGTCATTCCCGGTTTGTGCTGCATCCGGCAAGTCTAGGCACACGGGCATGGTCACTCATGCTACACTCCGTCGGGTGATAGATCCGGTACTGGAGAGATTCGATATACTCCTCTAAGGCACGGATCTTGCAGCACAGCTTGTAGTTAACCTCGGTTGTCTGTGAAGCTTTTTCTTCCATGTTCCTATATGCTTCGTGCCACATAAAGACCATTTTTTGCATTTGCTGCAGGGAAGTACGGCATCCAGAAAGGGCAGACAGGATAGTGGAGGCACTTTCCTCAAATCGAGCTGCAACCTCGTCGGTTTCGCCATAGACGTCCGAGAACAAACCAGATGGTTCCATAATAGTAGAAAGATTGTAATTGAACTGGGATGGACTTTCTTTCTACGGCGTTCTGGTATAGTAGGAAGAGTCGTAGAATGTATGTTTGGAATACAGTGTCCTTTGGGTATCACGTAATAGCAACAGGTCCGCTGTATGTGTACAAGGTAAGTTTAAAGAATATCAAAGAGTATATAGGGGAGGAGAGGAGGGGAAAAAAAAGGATATATGGAAACAACGGGTTGAAGTGGAGGTAAAACAAGATGGAGATTCTCTGCACGATTATGTCAGAGCCTATCCATTCTAGCTTTACACAAGATTTGACCCTTTAATACCCCCCCGGGGAATTGGAGTATCTAGTTGTAAAACCTAATTAAAATTTATTACTAATAATTATTGCCGTGGTAGAGTAGTAATGAAAATTAACGGTGAGCACTACATTCTCAGTCTGCTTCCAACACTTGATTTTATTTCCATTTGTAACCAGTGAGCCTAAATATGTACAAACTCCGCGGTCGTTATCTATATCAGTCACTGGAGAGTAACAGACAATGCACTATCACAGACTTAGAAATCCAATCACTTTTAAAATCTACAGAACTCCATGGGCTGCTTCCAGGCTCTGCTGTAGAATAGAAATCATTGGTGGACGGATTATCGGCTGTGTTTACTTGGGGGCAGATTTTGGAAGGTAAACCTTCTACAGCCTTTACTGTAGAAAACTGCTGCAGACAACATATACGGCACCCAGAGCGCACTGCACTCTGTTCGGCCTCCCTGACAGTGTCATCGGAGAAGAGAAGATGATCGACCTCAGTCAGGCCAATGTCAGGGAGGAGGTCCACTCGTCTACCAAGCAAGTCAGTTGCCACTCACTTGAATGTGGTATTATCTGTTCACGTAAGGCACGATATGGCAATGGATGGGAGAAATCGAGTTGCAAGTCATAGGGCTAGGGCATTAGTGATCACGATGTTACCATTACTAGAGCTATTTGAGGACATGGGTTGAATTTATGACCCCTTCTTCCTAGCGGCACGGATAGTCCTCTCTAAAAATAGATCCGAAATAGGGCTTTTCCGTAGCCTTCTAGTCCGTCACAACGAGCTGCCACCATCTCGAGCTAAAGGTAGTGGAAATTGGCTTCAGGACGTAAGTAGAAAGTTTTAGATTTATTCTTGTTACGATCATTCACTCCGGGGGGGGAATGGGTGGCAGAAGAACACTGTACCAGCTACACCCAGGTAGCCTACTTGGGACCTGGAGAATAACAATATCAACTGTATTGACTGCACGACCAACGCGCTCACCGACGTGCTCTATCTCCCCAATTACTATCTAAAGGGATGGAGGTGATTCAGGGGAGTTAGTGCTCGCCAAGTAACTAATCGGCCCCAATCCCGGATATTTCTCTATCAATTCTCCGCCACATTCCCTTACAGTCGTTCCTACACATGCATCCTTCTGCAATTGAATATATACCGCTATAGATCGTGTTTATGATTTATTTTTCTTTTTCTTTTAGTCTCAACGCCCCTCCCTGCCTGGGCAATTCCTAGTTGCATTGACCAATGGCGATTCTAACGCGCGCAGATAGGATAAGGAGGTTCTGTTCCTGTCAGCCCAGCACCGTATAGGACAGATTTTCCGGGGTGCGGAAAGATCGTCTGCTGGCCCTCCACGGTGTGGCAATTATTGCCCACATTGGCGACAAACAGATCCGGGTAGCCCTGACCGAAAGACTCAATACTACCGCTGCCCCCATCAATTTCTACCACCGCGCAGTTCATATACATTTCACGATTACCCTGTAAATTGAACCAGGTCCAAGCAAAAAGCGCCTGGCCCTTGGCCGCGTCTGCTGGGATCTGAAAACCGTACTTCGATTGAAGAGGACAGCCACCGATCATCGACTGGATCACTTTGAACGTGCGTCCGTTGTCATAGCTCAAGGATAGCTGACATGAGCCGCCGCCATGGGTCACGGTCCCAGACAACATCATATCATATGATTGGCCGGCGGTGTATTTAGCGGCTACGCGGTGTGGTGTGTTATTCTGATAGCCTTTGCAAGGAAAATTGGAGCCTAGATCGAATCGACAAGTCAACTCTTCCACGTTCCGAAAGCAAAATGCTGAAATATGAAAAAAAATGAAAAAAAGAAAAGAAAGAAAGAAAAGAAAAGAAAAAGAAAAGAAAGAAAGGGGAAATACCATTGCTGAAAAGAGGGCTCGTCATAGAATAATCTATCTCGGTCACATTCCCATCGAACTTGCTACGGAGTGGATAAGGCTGGCGCATTTCCATATGCGCGGTAGATAACGCACTACAAAGTAAAGGTATCACCCATAGGAGAGGCATATTGTTCACCGTTGGAGAGACTGAAAGGTCTGTGATGGCTCTTATCCGAAAAATATGTCGCCTCCGTATGTTCGCTATTTGCTGACGGGATATATTTATTTTGAACGACACTATTCTTAGCCAGTCAGGTAAGTACGTGTACAAGTTCAGGCCGAAGGTCTCAGTATGGATGTAAGAAGCTGGACCCAGTGGCTACACCTGATTAAAATATCCTACACATGTCTTCGTTGCCCCTCATTTTAAGGGTAAACTCCATCCGCTCTATACAGTAGCTACACAGGTATTCTCTCCGTGCATCTGGGTTCTTTCAGCCCAATCCAAAAGGAAGCCCTTAACATGGGCTAGCCTCATCTTTCCAAACAACGTGTAACTCAAATCGATATGGAGCATCAGAGTGCCCTTCACGCAACCTGCATAGCAATGGAAACTCCGCAAACGGTCGCCCCAAATGCGGCTGGGTTTCTTTCTAGTGATAGCCAGCAGGTTAGGAGCATTATTACATACAACGGCGAGGATATGGAGCGTAGCAAAGGGACCATGATACCTAGGAACTCGACCAGTATACAGATGGTAAATAGCAGCCCACTAAAACAAAAGCTCCAATCCATTCCGTGGAGGAGATCACGTAGGGTGCTTTTGCGCGAGGATCTCGAGAACTTCCTAGAGAGATGGTAGGACACCCTCTATCTAGACGGGCTAATTATATAAAAGCGCGACCAACCTTTTAGCAATTACCGTTCTACAAAACTTAGACTCCCATAAGGGTCTGCTCCGTTGGCTGCGATTGGCTGTGAGCATTGTGTAAGGCTAATCTCAGGAGCAGTGACTACTGCACGCTGGTGCCAGAATTGAAAACTAACATTTTGTTTGCAGGCGGAACTCGCACTATGTTAATGAGTTCATTGAAAAGCTGTTATGCTGTATTCGGGAAAATCGGCCGGATGTTGTGAAAGTGTGTGATGTGATAGAGAAGGCTGCACAGAATTTAAAACATGGGACGGTACGCGAGCTATTCCAAGCGATTGCAGACAAGCATACAAGTCTTGATCGGCTCCTTGAACGGCTAAAAGTAGAGAAGTTGAAAGTTCCAGTGATGAGAAATGAGGATTCTGAGCTACGAGTGAGGCACAGTTTGCTCATTCGACTACGATAAAATTGACTTCTCTTATTCTACTAGGCATAGACGTTTCATATTCCACAATGTGAATTATGCCCGTAAAAATATGCCACTGAGAAGCTCTTGTAACTTGAGATGCCCTCTTGAGTCTAGTATAGCCTGACACGACGCCTAGCTCCAAGGTGTACGGTGTCCCCTGGATCTATCAAGGGTGGTAAGTTAGAAATCATGAAATATCAGTTCCTTCCAATGCCCCCCACCCAACTGCCTTCCGGGTGGGGGTGCACCACACTGGTAGCCCAACTAACACCTGAAACCCAAATTTCCCACCCCTGATATGCTAGCAGATTAAGCGAATCAGATACTATAGCAGACTGGGTTAGATAACATAGTTAGCGAGTTATAGCTATATTACTTCAAAGAGGGACTAGTACTTGTCAAATAGTATGGCCGTTGGTGGACCAGAATCATGTGACTAGATCGGGGTAAAACCCCGCGGAGCACACAAAAAATTGAACAAGAAGGATAACCAAGAGGAATAACCAAGAAGAGCCCAACCAGCTCAATTCATTCAAATAAGACCTTTTACCAATCGTACTCTATTTCCTCTTCGGGACTAGCCGTATATTTGACAGCTACCCGTCACACCTGACCCACACCGCTTTCGCTTATGGGCCATCCCAAGTTCAACGGTATTATAGGCTCAATGGAATTTTTTACCCTTCACGGCCACGTTGAAGCTATTTACGCCCTCCCTGGGCCATAATCAATACAGTATAGAGGCTGACCATCATCTCCAGTCACCCAGCTATTATTTTCATCCCGATTTTCATCCCCTAAGCCCTCTTTTGTGGCCCTCTGTGCCAGTTTATCCGCGGCATTCTTAGCCTTCCGCTTCCACCTTCGTCTTTCTTTCTCTGCCTCTTCTATTTCACGGGACTGAATAAGGTTATTTGTATCTTTGACAGATAAAGGACCTCCTGATCGAACCTGGCGACGGGTTTTTCTAGCCTAGAGATGCTCCTGGTTTGCAAGAATACGGGTAATATCTGCTTCCCGCTGGGCGCCTAAGTTCTGTATTGGTGAGACTACCCTGCCAAATACGCTCAAAGCGAGCAACAATTTTATCAGTATTTATACTGACTAAATTGCTACATTCCTTTGCTGCATTAGCTTGTGCTTGAAGTACAGCAAGATCTTTCTGTGCCTTAGTAATACTCCGGCGCATTTTGGTAACTGTTGTTGGTGGAGAGTTGGTTGTAGAGCTTGAAGGTGGTGGTGTTTCTGGTTGAGCTCCTAGTTCAGCACCCAGTTGAGCTTCTAATTGAGCCTCTTCTTGAGTGTTTTCTTGAGCTTCCTGGCCCCAGATTGGTAGGTCTGTTGTCTTATCGCCATCATAGATAACTAGGCCAGGAACTGGGGATTCAGCATCTCGAAGTGGCTGGAGAATAACATCAAGCTTTAGTGGATAAATCCCACAGTTTCTAAATGCATGCCGTATGGTAGAACCCTTAAAAGTTTGCATCCGAATAGCATGGATACTGCGGAGGAAATCTGACTTTTCTTTCACAGAGCCACCCCATTGCACAGTAGCATTATTAGCCCTCCGATAATAATGCTTATACGCCTGAAATGGGTGTCCATCTAGAGGCTGAAGCAGATGTGTAAGATCTGGCGGGAAACACCAAGGAATAATATAATGCTGGTGGCAAAATTGTACAAAATCCTCTGTAAGATGGGACTGGTGGTTGTCCATTAGGATCAGGCGGTAGGATCCGCGTTGGACACGATGCTTTGTCTGTTCATGGAAGAATTGAAGCCATTGATATGCAATAATATTATTTGTCCAGCCATTTGCAGGTGGAGCAATATAATAATTGTCTGGAAGACGACTGATTTTTATACCAATTCTCCATATGATACTGGCCCTTGAAGAGGAAAAATGGTGCCATTATCCAACCATCTGCAGCAATACACTCAATTGCTGTAAGTGATTCTCCTGATCCTCCAGTTCCAACATATGCTGTAGTATTCTTGTGTTTTGTAACAACTTTCTGGGATTTTCCCTGCCCAAGCTGGAAGCCGGATTCATCGAAATTGTAGATATTTCCATTTAACGCATCGAAGCTGCTCTACCTATCTATTACCGTACCCGATCACATGATGACCGTTGTCAACCATAAAATTACGCGTATTCGCAAGTATCGATCCTTCATTGGATTAGGTCTCTGATTCAACTAAACTACCAAAACATCTCGCATTTATAAAGGCGAGGTAAACAAATGAAGAATGCAAACTAACTAATGTAGGAAATATACGCGATCCGATGATGTTGGATCATCAACAACATTTGACCCAGAAAGGTGCTGAATAACCAATATTACCATAATTGTCGACAACCGTTTTCACCACTCGCCCGATTTTTTGGGTTAACCACAAATGCAGAGATGAAGCCATACAGCCACAACGAAATGATAAAATAAGTATATTTTTTGGTGGAGTAGAATAATGTATATAAAGAAGCTATGTAGCTAATTTTTGGTGTCGCGGAATCGCTCAGGAAGCCGTATTTGCCTTCCACGCCTATTTACAGTAATAGGTGTCTCTTCCACTTCTTGCACATTTTTCATATCAATATCTTCCTTTTCCTTTGCTGTAGCCGGCCCTATAGCCTTCTTCTTATCCTTATTGGCTTGTCTGATGTCATTTTGAAGCTGTGTATAGCATCCCACTAAGTCGTAGTTGACAACTCTACACGAATATCAGTTTTGATGCTCTCTCAGATATTAGGAAACGCAATCACTCATTCTAAAATATCATATATCCTATCACAGCAAAACGCGAGGAGCTTTACTAAAAACTGAATTTGTACCGATTCGAAGTAGTCCAGAGTTTTATTCGACATCTCCACAATCTTTGGTTGATCGCTTCCCCTTTCTAACATACACGAGGTTTTCGGAACTGTGATCTGGCTTGGAAGGGCTTAACACCGGAAAGAAGACCGAGATGAGGGTTTCTGGAAACTGCTTACAGCTCTTGATATGGTTGCGCCACGCTTCTTTCAATAGAAACGCCCTTGTTTACGAAAATATCCGCTCAAGCGTAGCCACGTTGCTGGTAGCGTGGAACCACATTTCTAGAGAAACAGTAGGATACTGAAAGGGCATAGTCTCCTAGGACCTGGCAGTGGACCATCCCGCCGAATTTATAAAAAAAAAATAACTTGCCATACTCGCCTTAAGCGCAGTGGGTACAGAACTTTCCGAAGCGCAAAGTAGAGGCCCAACTGGGACAGTGTTCGGATAACGTCATCTACCCGACAAAAATGCTAGTTCCTTTGGATTGAGCGTAGGTAGTTTCAGTTTCAGGGTGTACTGTAGTCGACTTGCCCGTGGATATCAGCTGGGTGGGATAACTACTCTGCATTCTGAGGGCGACAGCCAGGGAAACAAGAGCAACAAGCAGAGTCTAGTGCACGGTACACCACTTCTAATTATGGCGATGTGCAGATGCCAACGATAA